TTCATGCTACCTGGATTTTGATCTTGGTTGCCAGGGCTCCTGGTATGTGTAACCAGGAGAATGAGCCAAAATGAGCATGATGACAGCCACTTGTTCTGGAAAGTAAGATGCACCCAGGGTGTCAGTTCATTAGCTCATTTGATGTCAGGAAAACCTTCCAGGAGGTAAGACAGGGTAGGGATAATACCCAGATAGTGGTTTATCCTAGGTCTGGAAGTTACTTTACATAACTTTGAAAAGGCTCATCCAAAGTATGTCTTTAGGCTACTATTTCCTTCCCTTTTCTGAATTCTGACTTCTACACCTCTAAAATGAGGGCTCTGGATCAGAACAATTACTTGAAAGCTTTTTTAGAACAAAGGAACCCTTTTCTCAAAATCTGTAAAATATAAAACTGAAACAAGAACTCTCTAGGTTGAACTGGAGGGTGGTAGACCTCATTCCTTTTTGTTGGAAGGAAGTACCAGAATTATTTTTTTAATTTATTATTGAAGTTAGTTGATATATAATGTTATATTAGTTTCAGGTGTACAATATAGCAATTTGACAATTTTATGTAATTGATGTGAAACAACCCCTTAGTACAAAGTGAGAGATAAGCCTTGGTGCTTACCATGATAAATATGGCCACCATCTATTACCATGCAATATTATTGCAATCCAGTTATTATATATATTAAAAGTATTTTTGACTATATTCCTTATGCTGAACTTTCATCTCTGTGATTTATTTGTTTTATAACTGGAAATTCACCCATCCCTCACCCATCTCCCCTCTGGCAACCACCAGTTTGTTCTCTGTATTTAAGAGTTTGTTTTGTTTGTTCATTTGTTTTGTTTTTAGATTCCACATTAAGTGAAATCATGTGATACTTGTCTTTCTCTGTCTACCCAAGTTATTTTTAAGAGTTTCAGTGATTGATGTTTTTTGGTGGAATGGAGAACTGAATAAGACTTAGACATGATATAGGGCCTGCGCCACCAGGAACAGGCCCAAGACTGGCCTTATATTCTGAATAGGTGCACTTATTACTTATCTTAGACATCAGGTAGCTGATTGCAAATGTCTGTTGACTTATATGGTTGGGGAACCTCCCCTCCCCAACAAAGGAAGGGTATTTTTAACTAAGGACCAGAAGGAAGGAGGGAAGGAAAGAAGGAAGAGAGAAGGGAGGGAGGGAGGAAGGGAGGGAGAAAAATTAATACTAACAGTTGAGCATTTTACCCTTTTCAAAGCAATTTTATGGATATTCATTAATTTAATCTTTACAATCTCTGTGAGGCAGGTAGAAATATATTTATTTCCACTGTAAAGATGAAGAGGCTGAGGATTTGCAATGAGATTTGGGAGGAATAAAGTACCCTGTTAAATGACAAGAAGAATTGGGGAATAGCCTTTGAAGAAGGAGGCTGCAAAGTATTTTCAGACAAGGAGAGGGCATTGGGGAAGCATACCAGACAGAGAAACCACATGAATAAATGTCCAGAGGACTGACTATGTATAATGCAACCAGGAAATGAGTGTCCCCTGTGTGTTATGATATTAACCAGTGTGAACCAGTTGCCTTATGAGTCCAAACATATGGGAAGTTACTAATTTGGGGAATGAGGGAGTTTGAAAATAATTGGGAAAAAAAAAACTCTGGAGGGAGGAAGGGAGAGACCACAAGTTGGGGCTGGTGTTTATTTAATTTTATGCTACAAAATTCTATATTTTCTGGAAAACCAACAAGACACATGTTTGAATTTAATTTTTTAAATTGCAAAGTTAAGTACATGTTATTTTGGATTCTGAGTCCAAACATTTGCTTGGTATTTTCCACACATCTTTTCTGCTCCAATTGGAGCACATCAAAGTTCTGGTTTGTCTTGATGCTGGGCAGACTTTCTGCTGAAGGCCGTCTGGTTTTCTTAAAATGCCACGGGGAAGATGGTATTGCAGGCTATGAAAAACAATGGAATTGACTTGGGGAGGAGGTGGTCGAAAACTTGGGGAGGCCAAAGAGAGGAGGCAGTCTTTCTCTGCCATGGAGCCACTTGATGGCCTTGACAAGTCCTTCCCCTCTAGGCCTCAGTTTCTCTATTTGTAGAATGAACAGTTTGGACATTTGAGGAGTTAGGTAACATGGGGGGCAGTTAAGTAATGATATTCAAAATAATTCCTGATTTCTCATCTCCTCTGTCATTACTGCTCTAGCTCAAGTCCTAATCATTCTGTCGTGAAGATACTCCTCTCCTAGCAGTCCCTTCCTTCATTTATGCCACCCTGCAGCCTATAGTCCATACAGCAGGCAGATTACTCCTTTTAAAATGAGAGTTAAATAATTTAATTTCCCTGTTTTCAACCGTCCATACTTTCTGTTCTGTGCACATGCCATGCTGTTTCATATATTTTTCCATTTTGTACATCTAATTCCTTCTCCTGCCTGCCATTGTCTTTCTATCCACTTCCTATTAGAAAATATCCACTCATGCATTACAACTCAACTTAAAAGAAGGGCATCTCCTCCAGGAAGCATTGTCTCAGCCCCTTCATGCTAAATGTGTTCTTCCCTCCTGTTACCTCTGAATCTCAATACCTAGCATACCCTCTAGCGGAGTTCTTTTCATGCATTCATGCAGTGATAGGATTGTTTACTCAGTTATCTACTCTACCAAATTAAGAACCCTGCCCCCAAAATAGGGGGTCATGTCATAATCACTGTTGTATTTTTAATGCTTGACACATTGTCATATAATAAATACTTATTGATTCGAGTTTTCTAGTAAATGTAAATGAATGAACAAATAGTGAATGATGAGTGAAGTTTGATGATGAAGATGATATGGGGCCTTAGGGACAGAACTGCAGTGATGGTCATGGTGATAGTAAGTGCTCACACATCTTGGTGACTTCCCATGACAGAGAGGAAAGTTCAACAAGAGAGCATGAGGAATGTCTTAGGTCTTGGAAACAGTGTTCAGTGAGTTTTCTACCACTGCATTGCATTTATGAGAAAACTCTGACAATGAGGGTGTGTGTGTGTGTGTGTATGTGTTTCCTCAGTGGTAGAGTCATTTAAAGTGCATTTTTTAAACCAAACACTACAAGATGGCTCTGTTCTTAGGACGGCTCTTTTGTTGGACTTGTCAAAGTCAGCCTTGCAGTTCTGACAAGGAGAAGACCCTCCCTTCCCACCATGTGACCTTAATTGGACTCACTTATGATAGACAGGGCATGGGAAAAATTTGGTAAAATTTTTCTGCCTGGCGTATAGCAGGGTAATAAAATGCATGCTGTTGTATAAGATGCCTTTGAACATTCAGCATCCAGGGATGAGTAATGATTACATCCCTCTTCTATTCCTAGCTGACTCCCGGTAGAAGAAAAAAACTCTCTTTCAGCCCTTGCCCAATGTCACTTATTACTGCCATTATAAATTGAAAACATTTTTCTGCCATAAAATTCCCTGTGATGAATTGTACCATAGGCATTAGCGTTTTTTTCATCGTTTTCTTCTTGATGAGCTGGCAAAATAAAGAGAATAAAGCGGGTATATTCTTTTCTTTTGGAGAAATCCAATCTCCGCAAATGACCCCCTTAAGACTCTCAATGACTGTTTCTATGGATTCTGATCTTAAAAAATCATCCAACTTGGGGGCTTGGGTATGTGTATTATCATACAGTTAGTTTATTATTGAGCAATAGTCTGAAAGTGATTTTGAGGATGACTTCATTAGCGGAACTACAGAAGTCTCCCCTTAAGTGATCTGAACAAGGAGATTGAGAGGGAATTTAGGACTTTTATTTAAAACAATGCTATCTTGGGCCCTTTTACCAATGCATCACGCCTCGTTACCTGAGCAGAAATACACACTTGATTACCCACATTCTGTCTTCATTTTGAGTTAGTCCCACATTTGGAATAGAAGAAAGCTCGGGCTAATGTCCATTTTTAATACTAAGTAAGCACCAGGAATTGTGTAAGGTGCTTCTTATATCAAATCCTCATAACAGTTTTATAAGAAAATATAATGCACATTTTAGAGATGAGGAAAACAAATGTCAGAGCTTTTGAGCATTTGTGAGTAACCTGTCTGAAATAATACAGATAGTTTAAAATGAAGCCAGAATTCCAGCTCAAGCCTGTTTTTTCCTAAAAGCTGTGTTCTTTCCTCTGCAGTATGCTGTCTCCCACATATGATGCAATGGAATGGACCAAGCGATCAAATGATAGAATAATTTTAATGTCATTGAATGATTTTTCTTTTGGATACTTAAATCTGACATGATATGTAGGCTTTCAAAATGTGTTCAAATGTAGGCATATGTAAGTTGTCTTTCTTTACCTGACTGGAAGAAGCAGAAGGCCTCTGCTAATATTGCCTTTGTCTTCAGACTACGTCATCTTTATCCAGCAGAGTAAAGACAAAACGGTATCTAATTCTGTTTAGGATTCTCTGTTTACATATTTCTCTCCCCCTAGACTGTGAGCTCTTTGAGTGCAGGGATCTGGTCAGATTCATTTCTACAGGTCTTCAATGGATGTATACTTAAGGGATAGATGAGTAAGTGGATGGAGAAATTTCAGGTTGAGAGAGAGGGACTTTGAGAACATCAGAATTTAAGGGATGGGTAAATTAGGAAAAATGAGTGAAGGAGAGTGAGATAGAGCAGTGTCATTGAAGCCAAAGGTAAAGGGAGTTTTAAGGAGAGAATGTTGAAAAGAGTCAAATACCAAAATAGTATTTAAAAAACAAAATGAGGATTTAGCATCAATAGAATCATTGCTTGGCTTGGTGAGAATGATTTCAGAGAAGGTGGAAGTAGTACCCAGTTTAAGTTAAGGAAATGGAGAAGTGGAGGCAATAATAACAAACAACCCTCTGGTGGAATGTATGTGAAGTGAAGACATGTTCTGTTTACTTAGAGATGTAAAAGGGAGGATTTTGAGGATTTCAAGTTGTGAGACTTGAAAATATTTGTGAAAATATTGAATGTATTTTTTTCTGTTTCATAGAAAAAGCAAAAGGCATGGGGAGAAGTGGAAAACATGAACTTTGATCCAGCCATAAAGCCTCTCATTGATAGCCTGCTATTCTGTACAGGCTTCAAGCCACCAATGATGAAGATCCTGCCCATTGCCCATATGAGATGTGGTCTGAAAGTTAGCCAGAGGCTTGTGTTTCATACATCCTACAGAAGATATATAAGGCCTCTGGTCATTTCCATAGTACCTCCTAAGGGAGTATAATTATGATGTATATCCTTAGGCTTTGGCAAGACAAAGAATTCTCACAATACCAATAAAACAAGAACCAGTGCTCTCTGTTACCATTTTATACTTTGAATACCTATCTCTCTTATGATCAACAGAAGAATTAATAGAAATATCTTCAGGCGGTACATCCAAATGTCTTTCTTTTGATCTGACCACATAAAAAGGCAGATGTGTGTCTGTGCACGTGTGTGTGCATACGTGTGAGTGTTTAGAATTCAATTGTCTAGCTAACTTTTAATTATTCACTCTGTAAAAAATAGTACTACTCCAGCTTAGGTGTATAACCTCAAATTGTCAGGACCTGTGTGGTACTTTAATGAAGACTAGGAGCAAAAGTTGCCATGTATGAGCAGACAGCTCACCAAATCAGACTGAAACCACTGCTACCACTACAGTGAAATTTGCCATCACAACCTCTCTCCCTTGATTCCTCTGCTCCTTCCTAGGACAAAGCCACATCAGACAAATCACCATTCTCCAAACATACTTGGTAATTGCAGACCTCTGAGTCCTTTATATGTATTTCCCTTTTTCTTGAAATAATGCTCATCTTTTTAACATTTCAAACTCCTCCTCATCCTCCAAGGTCTAGTATAAATGAAGCCTTCTCTGATCCCCTACCCAAAGAAGGGAGTTACTTTAACTCCAGCCTCATAACATGCCTGACATTTCCTAAATGTTACCTGATCTTGACAATTCTGTAGCCCTGCTTTTCTCAGTTTGGAATATCTTTTTGTCTGCCTTTCATCTCCACCTGTTCACATCTTAAAACCTGAGAACATTAAAGCTGAAACAACTCTTAGAGATCATAATTTTTCAGATGGGAAAATTGAGTCTCAGAGAAGGAAAGCAACTGGTAAACTAGCAGGACAACCAAAACTAGACCACAGGTCTCAAGAAGAGTGGAAGGGCAATGTCTTTTGAGTTAAAACAACCTGGGTTCAAACCCAGGCTCTACCATCAACAAACTATTTGATTTTTTTCATCATCCTCGAGCATTCTTTTTTTAATTTTTATAAAAGATATTTAATTTTATAAAAGATATAAAAGATTATTCTTTTTTTAATTTTTATAAAAGATAATATCTCTATGGTTGTGAATTTCATTTAAAATGCCTACCTTGATGCCTGGCACATGATAGATGCTCTCTAGTTGTATGTATGTATATATTTTCACTTTAGATAGGCAATGTGATATAGTCACATAATAATAAAAGGATTTTTGCAATAGGATTTTGCAACTGCCTATTATTTATAGACCTTGGACAAGTTACTGAACTTTTTATGTAAAATGGAGGGCTTAGTATCTATTTGTAGGAAATAAATACGTGAGGATGAGCAAAAATTTGCATGAAGTACCTAATGTCTGTACATCAATGTATATCAGTCATTCAATAAAGGTCCCTTATATCATTGGCATTATTTCTACTTTCATGATCTCATTTAATACTCACAGTAATTCTGCAGGATTCAAAGAGTAGATGTTATTATGTTTATCAAGAGGTATAACCAAGATTATGGGCTGGCAGCCATATTATGAAAACTCTGAGCCTTAATGACTGCTCAGAGTATGACATACAGATTTAGAAAAACCAAGGAATAGGCACTGCTCAGAAATCAGGCACGTGGGTGGACTTCCAACCCTGGGAGAACCAGGTGCCAGGACTGACTCAGGTATAGCGGCAGGATCAGTTGGAACTTGAGTTGGTCTGAAGGTATGAAAGTCCCAGGTATGAAGTCTTTCTTATCTACCTCCTCCCAGATAGAAGTGTCACTCTCTTATTTGTACCCTGCCCACACATGCCCTGGTTCCATCACAGGAACTGTACTTCTTCTGTTCTTTCATGTGCTCCAATTCTGTCCAATTTGATTGTGAACTGTTGGGGCCTTTTATGATTCACATCTGGAGTCTCATTTACTAGCATATCCTCAGTGCTTAAACATAATATTTTGTTGACTATTACTTCACACAGAGCCTGACACATAGTAAATACACAGTGAGTTTTCAGTAAATGAATGAATGAATGAATCAAATGAAACAATATGTGTGAAAAGATTTTGTAAACTGTAAAATGCTGTTTGTAGGAGAGTGGTTATCAACAGTGATCATTACTAAGTCAGCCAGTAAGCTCCTTTGGACCTTAATATGTTGTTCAAACCTCAACAGTTGGGCATTCAAGGTACAAAATGGCCACATGGTGAGCCACAGAGGTACAGGCTGAGTCAGAAGGGATGCTATGAGGTCATTTATTTTCCCTTCTCTGAAAAGCTCTGGTAAAGATCCCATCTTTCATGCCACCTGAAACCCCTGTGGGAGTTCCCCAGGAACATCATACAGAATACTGGGCCCGCCTGGGAGCCATTATCCTGTGTGAGATGACAGGTCTGGAAAAAACAACATGATTTGTACACATTCCCAGCTGTCATTGAAGCCGCTGCCTTAATGGATTAATTAGCTCTCTGTGTATTAGTGTGTGTATTGGTGGCTGGGCTGCTCAGATGCTCATAGGCTTCCATGGACAGTCAAAGAGGTGATGACAATAATAACAGAAATAATAATAACAGCTAATATTCACTGAAAGCCTACGATATGCCAGATAATGTTTCAAGTACCTTGAATGGATTATTTTATTCTCATAATAGCTCATAAGGTACATACTATTATTATCTCTATTCTACAGGAGGAAACAGTGGCAAAATCAGAACTCAAACCCAGGATGCTTAAATCCAGAGTCTGTAAGCCAAATCAATAATCTTATCCCCAATATAAAACTGAAGAAACAGAGGCTCAGATGTTAAGTGGCTTGCTCATAAGTGATTGAGCCCCTCCAGTCCTGCCAAGTGCAGACCTGTGCAGAGAGAGTCAAGCAGATCCATGCATAAGTAAGTAGCAGAGCTTGAGCAACCCAGGTCCTGTATGACCTCTGGGAGCAAGGCAGGACTCCAGACTCAAAAGGATTGGGTACTGGGGGAAGGTCTCAGCCACAAGAGCAAGGCAGGGTCCAAAGTGTCACAGAAACACAATGATCAGCAATAGGCTGACTTAGTACTGCTTCCCCCAAGTCATTGAACAAGTGTTCTTTCCATTCTGCTTTCTCTCTCTACACCCAACCTTTCCCCTTCCCAATTCATTAGGAAAAAGATTAAGGAAATGCACAATTACCAAGTGCATATTATTTGAAAGCATTTCTAATGTGTAATTTTTTATTTTATTTTATTTTATTTTTTTTTAAAGATTTTATTTATTTATTTGAGAGAGAGAGAATGAGAGACAGAGAGCACAAGAGGGAAGAGGGCAGAGGGAGAAGCAGGCTTCCCGCTGAGCAGGGAGCCCGACGTGGGGCTCGATCCCAGGACCCTGGGATCATGACCTGAGCCGAAGGCAGACGCTTAACAACTGAGCCACCCAGGCGCCCCTAATGTGTAATTTTTGGTGATCTTCTAAACAATTCTGTAAAATACATAGTTTTATTTTTTCTCATTTTGACAAAATTGAAGTTAACAGCAGTATTGTGCCGCAAATCACACAGCTGCTAAGTATTTGAGTTGTGATTTTAACCTGGGTCTATAGTACATAGTAACACTCAGTAAATACTTATTGAAGTGAGTGAACGAAAGAAAGAAAGGAAGAAAGGAATAACAAGGTCGGGGATCTTTTAAGTGCACCAAGTTGCTTTTTAGGATAATTTAAGGCTGTGGTTCTTGACAAGGGCTGCTCATTGGACTACTTACAAAAAATACCAAATTGTCTGCCTCTGCTTCACTGAATCAGAAGCTATGCTCAGGCATTGTTTTTTTTTTGTTTTTTGTTTTTTGTTTTTTATGTCCCAGATTATTCTCATGTTGTAGCCAGGGTTGAGAATCACTGGTCTTTGGAAGGACTGGGATTTCTCCTTGTCAGACTTAGATGTGCAGAGCTTGTAAGTGGTTGTCAAGTGGCTCCTGCTCTTAGGGGAAGTAGGCTGTGTAGCAGTGACCTTGGCCTTTGGGTAAGGTTTGTGCCACTCAGACTGCTGTTGTTCTGGCCTCTCTTGTCAACCTGGTGGAATATAGCTTGTTTGCCTGCCTTGTCCTCAGACTGCTATCACCTGCCTTGTCCTGGACTTGGCAGCATGAATTCCTTCCCTCTTACCAATGGCAGCTAATCCAGCACTGCCAGTAGCCTATTGGGATTCTACGTAAATTTCTCCTTTCTCAACCCTCCTCTGGCCCAGAATCCCCAGCCCTGAACTCACTGCCACCCAGTAATCCACTTCTACCAGCAAACATCTCGCCCTTGCTCTCTTTTGTTTCCTCTCAGTATAACAGTCTTTATGGGTTTCTACTTCTTAGTCTTCTGTGACAAAGAAGGATATTGTGAAAATCAATTGCTTAGGTCAAGGAGAAAGTATTGATTCAGCTAACAGTGCTCATGCTTCAAGTGAGTCAGACGGTGAGGAAGATAAAAATGACTGGCATTTCAGGGGCCTACTCTGCCAATTCCATGATACATACTTGAGAAATGAGCTCCCAAGAATCTTCCCTCCTGTCCAATTTTTGTGGCCTCTTGGGGCTGCCATTTTACTATCAATCCCACTTACCCTTACCCTCCTCTGTGCTACTGTAGTGCTCTGGGCATTCCTCCAGAACTGCACATATGGTAATATTGGTGTAATGCATGCGCGCGCGCGCACACACACACGTACACACACAAACCAGACTGGGATCTCCCTAAGGTCAGAGAATTACAAAGTATATTCTGTTATCTCTGTCCCCATTTCCCAGATCAGGTCCTGGCATAGAGCTGGTATTATATATGGTTGAATAGTAAAAAAAAGCATTTCACTAAATGTCTTCACAACTATTATTTTATATTGGACCCATGGCAATCTTAGAAGATAATGTTCAGGAATTCATATCCACATTTGGCAGAGGAAGCAGCTGATGGATTTTAACCCAGAACTGCTGACTCTATAGCAGAATATATTCTATGACAAAAGTGTTCTATGTCACCAGTCTCCATGATGAAGTCATAATATCAGCAACTTTTAACACAATTGACCACTCACGCCTTCTCAAATTGCATTCTTCCTTTGGCTTTAGGAAACCACTTTCTCTTAATTTTCTTTCCAGGTCACCTTTTACTGGTTCACTTTCATTTCCTTAGCCTCTAGACATTGAAGTATCCTGGAGTTTGGTCTTGGAAGTTCTCTTTTTCTCAGTTAGTATTACATACTTGATGATTTCATCTAGTCTTATGGCTTAAAATACTATATATCAGCTGATGACTCCTAAACTCTTTGTAGTTTTTTTTTTTATTTGAGTGTAGTTGACACACAATGTTACATTCATTTCAGGTATACAACATAGTGATTCAACATCTCTGTATATTATGCTATGCTCAGCGCAAGTATACCTACCATCTGTCCCCCTACAACACTATTATAATATCATTGATTATGTTCCCTGTGCTGTGCCTTTTATTCCCATGACTTAGTCTTTCCATAAATGGAAGCCTGTACCTCCTACTCCCCTTCACCTATTTTGCCCTTCCTCCTACCCCCTTTCCCTCTGGCAACCATTAGTTTGTTCTCTGTATTTATGGGTCTGATTCTGCTTTTTGTTTGATTGTTTATTCATTTGTTTTGTTTCTTAGATTCCACATATGAGTAAAATTGTATGCTATTTTGATGACTCCTAAACTTATGTCTTTACCCAGATCTCTTGCCTGAACTCCTGAATCATACACCTGATCACTTACTCAACATCTTGGCTTGGATATCTAGTAGGCATATGAAGTGGTTTGTCTAAAACATAGCTTATAATTTTTAATCCCCAAAATTACTTTTCCCATAATCTCTCCTGTATTTATAACTGATAATTCCATCTATCTCTTTTGACCCCTCTCGTCTTTGAAATCATCTTTGATTCCTCTTTCTTATCCAACAGCCTATCCATCAATATACCTTATTGGTTCTATGATAAAAATATATACAGATTTCTGATCATTCT